CCCCCCCCCGGTCCCCCCATGTCAAAAAAAGCCCGGTCTAGGTAGGGTTAATCTGTAACATTATGACAAACGTTTGACAAACTTTCTGACAAGTCTGAGGTCAACAAATATCTGTCTTCACTAGCTGTGCAGTAACTCAAAACATTTGAGTGGCTCTCATGAGCCTTGTTTTGTGGTGAATCATAAAGTAAATAAAATAAAGATATACCATGAGCGTTATAGACCGGCAATGGGGAAGATAGCAAGAGTCGTTGTATTTTGATTTTGATCACTCGTTGTTGTGAAGCAACCAATATTTCATTTAGAAAAAAAATTCTAACAATAGTTTTTCAAGATAAAATAACTACTGTCTGTAAAATTAAATTCGATGACGATCATATTTAGGATGTTTAGGAAGATAATGCTGATGATGCTGATGATGATAATGATGATAATGTGATAATAATGATAATAATGTGATAATGATGATAATCACACGCTGTTTTCCCAGTCCCATACCCTGGCGGCTGCCTGCTGTTCTCCTTCGATGCCGTGTCCTATCCCAAAGCGAGCCAGGAGTGCCAGACCAGGGGAGGGCACCTGGTGGATGTGAAGGAGGCCGAGCTGCAGCGGCTCATCGCTGACTCCATCCCTACCGGAAGTGACGTGTCCCCGTGGATCGGACTGAAGCTGTCGCCGGGGGTGATGACCTATGCTGATGGGACCAGTGTTTCAGGTTTGGCGGTGGTTGATATCAAAATGATGCAAATGTGCGCTGTTATTACGACATTTACCTGGCCTAAACTTTTATCATAATAATCATATAGTACCTTCTTCATTTATGATTTTAAAAGGTTGGTACAACCTTGTATTCTTAGGATAACCATAGGATATATATATATATGTATATTTAAAATCAAACGAAGGCAAATGTCTATTCAGAAAGATATGATCTTACATGCCTTTTTGTGAATGTTAGGCCAGCTCCAGTGGCTGCCCAATGAGCCTACTACGTCCTGTGACCTGTGTGCTTACCTGGACAGCAACAACGGTCATCTGGCCGCAACCGCCTCCTGTATGGAACAGCACCACTACGTCTGCCAGTCAGGTAGGGTCTTGTTACACTGTGTGTACACATGGCGGAACAATAGACACTTTTCCTATCATACAGTAGATCTTCATGCCAGTTACAAAGATTTAGCACACATGAATGAAAGTGGTGTGGGGTCGGGTGGCGTAGCGGCAGAGTGCGCGACGCGGAACTAAGAGTCCCGGGTTCCAGTCCTGACATGCCACCGATCTTGTGCCCTTGGGAAAGGCACTTAACACGACTTTCCTCACTTAGCTCAGGTGTAAATGAGTATTGTCCTGTCATGTATTTGTATTCCACTGTATATTTATATTGTATATTATATTGTATATTTATTCCCCTGTGTTGGTGGCGGCATTAACATAAGTTGAAAAAAATTGAGTGTGTCGTCACCACGTCTGGTGATTACATGTTGGAATTAAAAGAAATTAATATGCTTAGCATTCAAGTCGATTAACAGCTTAAGGCCACACCGACTTAATTCTATGGATGACATCCTCTGAAGACCGCAAAACTAGTACACGCGGGCCAATAAAAATATCCAGCCAAATAAATAATGCAGCTAAACCACAGGGATACAAACCTGGTATTGTGGATATGTGGTAGTATGTAGTAGCCTGGGTACCATCCGGATTTTCGCTACGCAACGCTCAAAAAATCAAAAATCGTGATTTTTTCGAGCGTTGCGTAGCGTAAATCCGGATGGTACCCAGGCTAAGTATGTAGCGACTTTCACGACAAGCACATGCTGGCCTTTTGTGGCATTTATGAGTCGGTACTATACTGAGTTCAGTGTATATACGTACATCTCATGCATTTAAATATTGGTTCATTAAACAGCATTATGCGTAAGGTGTTAAACATACGTGATATATATGAAATAAAGACTAAGCTTTAACTTCCAACACTTAGATACAGAATTGGGACTTACTGTATCTAAATGTTGGAAGTTAAAGCTTAGTCTTTATTTCATAATGGTTTGTACCAACACAGATGAACTTTATTGATACGTGATATTTACCTTACGAGCAGGTAGCAAGAATGAATTTTAGTGATTTGAAACATGTAATTTTGTGTACTAGATGCTTCGCCGTGCCAACAGAACATTTGTAACAACGGCTCCTGTTCGACCTGCTTTAACGGCGCCTACAGCTTCTGTGACTGTCTGAACGGATATGAGGGGGACCTCTGCAATATAGGTATTGTCTATCATTTCCCATTCTAGGATTTGTCTATCAATGGATTGAAATAGTCAATTCAAGTACATCATTGGTTGACATAAGGTAACCCATGCATTGGCCGCCATTGTACATGTAGGATAATATGGCAACAAAAGCCCGGACCTTATAAAATTATCAACAAATGTGATTCATCGTTAAAGAGGTTCATCAGTCACGTCGAATCAACAGTTAGAAGAAATTCTTTGATCAGTGACTGTATTTTTGTAGGGTGAATCACGTACCTCCAATTTTTCGATGTCGACTGTACACCTTGATCACGGAGTGACCTAGTCTCGCGAGAACACGAGACTAGGTCGAGACTTGTG